CTTGAGGGGCACCCCGTAGGGGCCGTAGTCGGCGCCCCCGCCGCCGCCGCCCCCCATGGCGATGGGGCCGGCCGGGTCGAGCATGCCGGAGCCGTACATGTGGGGCCAGCCGGCGCCGAGCTGGTTGGGCAGCGGGTAGGCGGCGGGGACGGAGGGCATGGCGGAGAAGGCGGCCAGCCCGCCGGGCATCTTGTACTCGCGGGCGATGATGTTCTCGATGGCGAAGGGGTGCTTGAAGCCGGAGCCGGGCGGCGAGACGGCCAGGTTGTAGGCGGCGGCGGCCGGCATGGGCGGCAGGTGGGGCCCGCCGGCGGCCAGGGCGCTGAGGCGCAGCTTGGCCTGCTGCTGGAGGTACTGGGCGGCCTCCGAGGGCTTGCTGGGCGCCAGCGGGTCGGCCTTGAGCACCTTGAAGCGCTTGCGGCGCCGGAGGAAGCTGCCGTTCTCGAACATGTCGCCGCAGCTGGGGTGGAGCGCCCAGAAGCTGCCTTTGCCCGGCTGGTCGGGCCGCCGCGGGATCTTGATGAAGCAGTCGTTGAAGGAGAGGTTGTGGCGGAGGGAGTTCTGCCAGCGCTGCGTGTTCTCCCGGTAGTAGGGGAAGCGGTCCATGATGAACTTGTAGATCTCGCTCAGCGGCAGCATCTTCTCCGGCGAGCTCTGGATGGCCATGGCCGTCAGCGAGATGTACGAGTAGGGAGGCTTCTGGTCGCTGTAGGTGTTGCGGCCCGGGCGAGGCATGGCGGGGGCGGCGGCGCGGCGGCGGCGGCGGCGGCGGGCGAGCTCTGCAAACCAGCCGGGGAGGCAGGGAAGGAGAGAGACAGAGAGAGACAGACAGGGAGAGAAGGAAGGAAGGAGGAGAGCCCGGTTAGAGCCACCGGACCCGGCGGGAGTGGCCTGCGGACACGCCGCTGCTGCTGCTGCCGCCGCTGAGACGCCGTGCGCTCTGGCGCGTTCGCTCTCTCCAGGGCGCGCGGAACGCCGAGGCAGAAAGGCGTCCTGGCCAGCAGCGCCAGCGGAGAAGGTCGGAACCGCGCGCGGGCGGGAGGCGCCAGAGACCCGCTTGCCCAGAAACCGCAGACTCGCACTCGAGCAGCCAAGCCAGGTCCGGCGTCCCCCTCCAGGAGCAAACAAATCCGGCGTC